TTGCTCTCAGATGATAAAGTTGGCCATACATGGTTCAGTTTTTTTGGGTTCAACAAGCAGAGTGAACCCAAAAAACTGAACCAATTCCCCCATCCATACATTCACGGTGGATGGGGTAATCCTCCCAGCTGCACCATTGTATTCTACTAGCAGGCAGACTCCCCAGCTGTCAGAATACACAAATCAGCGCTGCAGTCATTGGCTGCAGCTGCTGATCGAGTGGATTTTATCTGACATGGCGACTGAAAAGAAGTGTACATAATGTTCAACTGCAGTGTACATCCATGATCCATCTCTGTCCACCTTTAGTGACATTGCACAATGTGGTTCGTATTGTTGTATTAGTTGCTACTGGGGAGATTCACCTTCTGTTTGCCCTGATGCGCACTCATTGGAACAGGAATAGCTGGACCTAGATGGGTCCCTTTTTTTTGATCAGACAGAAGGATGATTGAAATAAAATGGACTGATTTCCCCATCCACATAAATGAGGTGGATAGAAGAATCCTCTCCACTGTGCTATTGTATTTTGACAGTGGGGGGAACTCCTCCATTGTTAGAATGTACTTTTCAGCGATGCTGCCGACTGACTGGAGCCACTGACTGAATGAAAATTTTACAACATTCCATTCAACAAAAGTCAACTGTTAGATCAACTTTTGTTGAGGGGGAATGGCCCCCGAAATTCTGCCGTTCCTTGCTAAATCTTGCAATCAGACCACCTGTGCCGATGACAGCTTACTAATAGGAGATTTCCCTTCACTTTGCAGAAATGTCACCTTACTTCCTGTTGTGTGTTACGAACAGATAGTCAAGGGAAATCTCACCTAGTGAAACCCAATAATAGCAGTTTAGATTTCAGCTTAAAGTGGTTGTAAAGGCTCAAGGTTTTTTACCTTCATACATTTTATGTAAGGTAAAAAACCTGTGTGTTTCTCACCCCACAGCCCCCCTAATACTCACCTGAGCCTCCTCTCGAACCACCGATGTGCATGGGAGCCTCAGCTGTCCAGGGTCTCTCTCTCCTCATTGGCTAAGACACAGTAACTGGAGCCATTGGCTCCCACTGCTGTCAATCACAGCCAGTGAGCCAATGGGGAGAGAGGGGGAGGGGTTGAGCCATGGCTCTATATGTCTTATGGAGGTATAGAGCCAGGCTAGAGAGTGAGTACACACCAGTGCCCATAGCAAGTGGCTTGCTATTGGGGGCACTGGTCAAAGGAGAGGAGCCAGGAGAGGGAAACCTGAGAAAAAGAGGATTAGGGATGCTCAGTACAAAACTATTGCACAGAGCAGGTAAATGTGACATTTTTTTTTTTAAACAAGCCTCTGATATCACGTTAAGGCTTCATGCACACTGGGGCTTTTGTAAACATGTTTCTCCTAGGAGAAAAGCAGCTTCAAAAAGGCACCTTTGAGACCAAACAAGTTTAGGTGCATCAAGTGCTTGGATGCTTGTTTATTTAATTTGCCAGAATATTAGTTTATTGATTTGCGCTTAGGTGCGATAGACACATTGGACATTTTTTTCTGCCCAAAAACTCTGTCCTAAAAGCGAATTTGGTGCCTTCAGATTTCTGCCTCTAAACGCCCCTGCCTCTAAACTCCTTTAAACACCTATGTGTGCATGGGCACATAGGCTAACACAGAGGAGTGTATAGGCGCAGAAAAAAAAAAAAGGCAAACTCCTGTAAAACAGGTTTTAGCAAAAAGAATTTGTCAGGTCACTCTGTTTAGACTAATAATTTGTCTCCTGAAGTGTACTGCTGATTATGCTTGTCCTTGGTTTACTGAGCTGTTGCTGCCTGACCTGACCTTCGATCTGTCTGACTACACTTGTTGGTTGACGTTCCTGCTCTGACATCCTGACATTTTGGCTCATGACCCCTGGCTTGACTCCTAGTAATCCTCCTGCCAAGTCTGTCTTTACTTCAATGTGATCATTGCTCCTCAAATGCACAGTAGCATGTATGCACATGAAAGAGATATACTGAATATCATGTATGATTCTGTGCCCTCCGGGATATGCCAAGAGAAGAGCTGCATCAGACAAAAGTCCATCACATAGCAATCGTTTTCTGTTTTGTTGCTCCTGTCTATATTTCAGTCTAATAGCAGTAGAGGCATTTGGAACTCATGTACAGTGCTATTCGCAGTATGTCTTTGTTTCATCTCTCTGCTGTTTTCTGGCAAACACATGAGAGAAGAAGAATGACACAAAACATGCACACTTGCACATACACTATATTGCCAAAAGTATTGAGACGCCTGCCTTTACACGTACATGAACTTTAAAGGCATCCCAGTCTTAGTCCGTAGGGTTCAATATTGAGTTGGCCCACCCTTTGCAGGTATAACAGATTAAACTCTTCTGGCAAGGCCGTCCACAAGGTTTAGGAGTGTGTCTATGGGAATGTTTGACCATTCTCCCAGAAGCATATTTGTGAGGTCATGCATTGATTTTGGATGAGAAGGCCTGGCTCACAGTCTCCACTCTAAGTCATCAAAAAGGTGTTCTGTCAGGTTGAGGGCAGGACTCTGTGCAGGCCAGTCAAGTTCCTCCACCCCAAAATCGCTCATCCATGTCTTTATGGATCTTGCTTTGTGCACCGGTGCACAGTCATGTTGGAACAGGAAAGGGCCATCCCCAAACTGTTGGGTGCATGAAATTGTCCAAAATGTCTTGGCATGCTGGTGCCTTAAGAATTCCCTTCACTGGAACTAAGGGGCCAAGCCCAACCCCTGCAATACAACCCCACACCATAATCTCCCCTCCATAAAACTTTACACTTGGCACAATGCAGTCAGGCAAGCACAAGCACTGTTCTCCTCTCAGCCTCCAAACCCAGACACATCCATCGGATTGCCAGACAGAGAAGTGTGATTTATCACTCCAGAGAGCAGGTATCCACTGCTCTAGAGTCCAGTGGCGGCGTGCTTTACATCACTGCATCCAACACTTTGCATTGCACTTTATCACTGTCACAGTATAGGGGCCCCTGCCAATTATTGATTTCATTTAATCCCCATATTAATTTCCTGTACCAAATGTCCCTCAGCTTCTCTCTCTGTATGTCCTCCGTGTCACTCTGCCAAATGGCCAAATTCAATTATTGTGGCTTCCCCCCCCTCCCGGCCAGCTTGCTGTATGTCCTCAAGTTACTCTCCATAATTCCCAGCACCGGCCCCTCTGATATCCCCGGGGGGGTCCGGTGTCATCCTGGCCCTCATTGTGTCCCCTGTCGCCAGCTCGATTCATCCCTGGGGTCTAGTGTCCTCCCCTCCACCTCTCATCCTGCTGCAGTGGGATGAGAGGTGCGACTTTTACCACCCCTGCCCTATCTTCTCCCTCTCCGACCCCAGCCTGAGAGGAGAAGGTGGCGAACCTCACACCTCTCCGCGGAGAGGTGCGAGCCTCCCACAGGGATGGCCCGGGCTACGGCATCTCGCTGATGCCACCTCAGCCCTGTCTACCACAGCGCGGGCACACAAAGTGCCCGCGCTTGCGAAAGTCCCTGGACAAAGGCTGCGCTCACGAGAGGCGCGACCCCTGTCCAGGGGGCGTGCCTCATTGCTGGGCAAAGAGGCATGCCAGCCCCAGCCTGCCCCGGTTACCCAGATGACCAGGGAGCGTCCCGCATCAGCTTAAGAAGCTGATGCCGGGCGCTCCGGGGTTGTTGTTCACCACTGCACCAGCCACCAAAGGAGCCCAGCTGCAGCAGGACCTTTGGGGGTCAGACTCTGCAGACCACCCTAGCTGAACGGGGAACCGCACTGCCAGCTGCCAGAGACCCCCAGCAGGAGAGGGATTGCCTGCTAGTTGCCACAGAGACCCTCAGCCGAGGGGAGAGATTGCCTGCTAGCTGCCTGAGACCCCCAGTCCAGGGGAGGGATTGCCTACCAGCTGCCAGAGACCCCAGCAAGGGAGAGATTACCTGCTAGCTGCACGAGACCCCCAGCACAGGGGAGAGATTGCCTGCCAGTTGCCTGAGCGCTCAGCCCAGAAGGGGGAGACCACCCACATGATCCGGACTCCAACAGGTACCTGTGTTCCACTTTCTGTCCCTGGGAGATCAGGCACCCTGTCGGATCTGTGAGTATACGCATTCTCCCTGTTTTTACCGGAACTGTTCCTATACTGCCTCCCTACTCCCCCCTGTTGGATTACAATTGCTACAGAGACTCTCCCTTGGCTCTCGGTGTTGGACTATAAGTGTTTCAGCCTCCTTGCTATCCTGTACTGGCGAATTTACCCTCCCCACAAGTCCCTCTATTGCGTGACTGTCATCTGTTTGTCTCAATAAAGCTTTTTGCGTTTGCCATCCACTCTGTGTGTTCTCTCCTGCCTACCCGCCGTCACATTCACGTACCTGGTGATGGAGGCCAATGGAGAGAGGGCTTCCCTTGCGGTTAAGTTCCGGACTCCCCTGAGAGTGGGACAGCAGGAGTCAGGCCCAAAGTTTCACAGTTCGCCTGTAGGAGTGCTGGTTGGTGGTCCACTCAGAAGGACAGCTGGTGCACGGAAATAGGTCTGCAGACAGGAGGCGCCTGTGCGTGGTATGCAAGCCGTTCCGGGATTTTGGATGTTTACTGGGTAGTCGGTTCAAGCCAAGGTCAGGTACCAGGTGAGAATCAGAGTGGACGTAGTCAGATGGGATAGCCGCGGTCATTCACAGAGGAGCGAGAGAGAGAGAGTACCTGTAAGCCAAGCCGAGGTCATATCAGGGGTAACTCAGAGTAGACAGGTCCAGGAGCAAGCCGAGTCAGTAACAGGAAATCACAAGTCACAATCACAGGAAACAGGAACCAGTAACAGGGCACAGGGAGCTAGAGATCATCCAGCAACAAGAGGAAGTGATGCGCCTCCTTAGAAAAAGGCCGTCTGGCAGCAGACTGAGGCTGATGTGTACTTCTGCGGCCATGTAGAATACTGGCAGAAAGGCCAGATCTTCCTAAACTTCTGCCGTGGACAGGACACTGACACACTTGGTGATGTAAAGCTTGGATGCAGCTGCTCGGTCATGGAAACCCATTCCATAAAGCTCTCTATGCACTGTTGGTGTGCTAATCTGAAGGCCACAAGAAGTTTGGAGGTCTTTAGATATTAACTCTGCAGACAGTTGGCGACTTCTGCGCACTGTACGCTTCAGCATGCGCTGACCTCGCTCTGTCATTTCACGTGACCTATCACTTTGTGGCTGAGTTGCTGTTGTTCCCAGTTGCTTCCACTTTGTTATAACACCACTAACATTTGACCGTGGAATATTTATTAGCAAGGAAATGTCACGGATGGACTTATTGCACAGGTGACAACCTATCATGGTACCACACTTGAATTCACTGAGCTCCTGAGAGTGACCCATTCTTTCACAAATGTTTGTAGAATCAGTCTGCATGCCTAGGTGCTTGATTTTATACACCTGCCCTACTAAAACTCACTAATGATCTACTAACTGCTAAAACCAATGGCCACTTCTCCGTACTCTTACTACTTGACCTCTCTGCGGCTTTAGATATGGTTGACCATGCCCTCCTCCTCAAAAAACTCCACTCTCTTGGCCTGCGAGACTCTGCTCTCTCCTGGTTCTCCTCCTACCTATTGCAGTGCACCTTCAGCGTTCAATCTATAACGCTGCCTCCTCCTCTTCACTCCCTCTTTCTCTAAGGGTCCCTCAAGGTTCTGTCCTTGGACCCTTTCTCTTCTCCATCTACACCTTCTCCCTTGGTCACTTGATAGACTCCCATGGCTTTAAGTACCATCTCTATGCTGATGACACACAAATCTTTCTACCCCTCACCTCACCCCTTCAGTCTGCTCTCGCATTACTAACCTACTAAGTGACATATCGGCATGGATGTCACTCCACTTCCTCAAACTCAATCTTTCCAAAACTGAGCTCTTAGTATTCCCCCCAGCCCATGCCCCCTCCCCTGACTTCTCCATCAAGATCAATAACACAATCATCAGTCCCTCCCCTCATGCCAGGGTACTAGGTGTAATCCTAGACTCCCATCTGTCCTTTCAGTCCCAAATCCAATCACTGTCCAACTCTTGTAGACTTCACCTCGCAACATCTCCAAGATACTGCCGTTCCTAACCTTGGAAACCGCTAATCAACTTATTCACTCCCTGGTTATATCTCGCCTTGACTATTGTAACTCCCTCCTCATTGGCCTACCTCATCGCAGGCTATCCCCTCTTCAATCCATCATGAATGCTGCTGCCAGACTCATCCACCTTACTAACCATTTTGTATCTGCCACCCTTCTCTGCCAATCCCTCCACTGGCTTCTCATTGCCCAACGGATAAAATTCAAAACATTAACATAACATATAAAGCCATTTATAACTCTGCCCCAAATTACATCACCGATCTTGTCTCCAAATACCACCCAAACCGTACTGTCCGCTCCTCACAAGACCTCCTACTCTCTAGCTCCCTTGTCTCCTCCTCCCATGCTTGTCTCCAGGACTTCTCCAGAGCTTCCCCCATCCTCCGGAACTCTCTACCCCAATTTATCAGACTATCGCCTACTCTGCTCACTTTTAGGTGATCTCTGAAAACCTATCTCTTCAGGGAAGCCTATCCTGCCCTCAGCTAATAATGGAATCTTCTACTCTTCCAACCAGTCCATCCCCCACAGTTACTACCTTTTGTTCCACTAGCCATTCCCTCCTAGATTGTAAGCTGCAAGGATCAGGCCCTCCTATCCCTCTTGTATTGAACTGTATTGTTGCTGTATTGTCTCCCGTTATATTGTAAAGAGCTGAGCAAACTGTTTGCGCTATATAAATCCTGTATAATAATAATAATAATAATAATAAAAACTTGTGGCCATGGGGGTGATTGGAACACTTGAATAAAATGATTTGGAGTATTGTCAATACTTTTGGCAATATAGTGTATATTAAAGTCCATCTCTAGCCAAAGCCTTTTTTGTAAGGTTTTGACAGAATTTCAGAAGAATAAGAACCCCTTTCAAGTTAATTTTATTGATATCTATGTCCCTGCTGAGAAAATGTACCCTCTCTACTTGCCCGGGGACCATTGCTACCAAGACACAGAATACTGGGAAATCCAAAATGTTACAATTGTCACTTGAAGAGCAGGTGAAGGAAAAACTACCAGAAAGTTACACCTGTTCCAGTGATGGCTGTCAAGGCCCCATTCACACCTTGGTGTTCTGGGAATGCTCACAGAAACGCATTTTTCTGTGCATTCCCAGAAACATGCAAAAAACACGCCAAAAAAGCATATTGCACTTGTGGTGTCATTAAATGGCAGCAGAAAAAAGACACAAAAATTCACCAAAATGCACGTGCTAGCCTTGTGATGAACACGGTGCCCGACCCCTGCCTTCCTCACCAACTCGTGACAGAGGACCAGCCAATCTCACACCATGGTGTCACTCACGTAACAATACCACTCTCAGCTGTACCCTGCCCAAAGATTTTCCAGCTCGCAGGACCACAATCTATGTGCCAGCAGCCTGAGAGCAATTGTGAGGTTAGGTTAATTACGCAATTAACCCTTCAAACTCCAAACTGCCACCAAATAGTTTTGGGACTGTCAACCCTTCAAATGGTACAATTAAAATATTTACAGAAAGAAATGTTACAAAGACATAAAGAGAACAATAATGCAACAGAGAAATAAAAGAAACGAGTTAAGGCAGAATACTTGGTTTTAGCAGAGTCCAATTGTCCAAGCAAAAACGTTGCCTTGGCTCTCAAGTCTGTTAAGATGTTCCTTGGTTGATGTTAAATGGGAGCTCCATACTAAATCTGCGCCCTCTGGTGTTCATTTACTACATCACCGATACCTTTCTATCTGATCTGATTAGAAGCTGCTCAGGATAAGTAAGCTAGTCTGCTACCCCCATGGACATATGAACTGTGTACCAAGTCTTTATCATTATCAAGGCTAAGTAGTCATCTCAGGGACCCAAGTCAAGCAGCCGCAATTCGGGGTCGCTGGCTTGAGAAAGAGGTGGTACTGCTTTGAAACATGTGGCCACACCCCTGGAAACTGACATCATCCAGGAAATTTCCCATGCCGTCATATTGGCCCTGGTGCTACTGTAGCACTCTATGCTGCTGGAGGCTTTGCACTGCATGACCCCAGATCACTGCTGTTTGAGTTGGGTCCCCGAGATGACTTCTTTTGCTTTTATGATATGCCTTCTTTTACTCTATTAAATGTGAGTGCATTTTTACTGTTTTATCAATAAATTACTAAACTTGCTGCACTTAGATACCCCCTTCGGTGTTCATTTAGTTGTTAAGTGTGCTGGGAAAACTTTTGTTTGTGTTGCACGAAAGCCTTCCTTGTGCATCTTACTTTTTTAATAAAAAGTTGTTTTTTTCTCCCAAATTTTACTTACCTAGGTGGATGCAGTATCGGTCTGATGCCGCATCTGTCCCCTACCGGCTGAGTTTTCACCACCGCTGTGAGCAAAGAGCACTAAATGGAGTGCTGGGCTATGGAGGGGGAGGGAGCCACTGGCTCAGGCTCTCAGGGGCTTGCTGAGAGGCTAAGCCAGGTGCCACTCCAGACTCTGGGGTGGATCCCGACTTTAAAATCTGGATCTTTCCCCAGCCTGGACCGGCTGAGTGTCGTCAGCCAACTGCGGGCTTCAACCTGTTGTCAGCAGTGCCAGCTTTCCTAGACTTTATCCTGTCACTAGTGTTGGCAATAATAACTGATTTCCTAACCTACATCCTGTATTTGCCACAAGCAATAATGCTTACTTTCTTAGTCTACATCCTACCATTATCACAGGCAATGGTGACTGATTTGCTAATCTACATCCTACCACTAGTGCAGGCAACAGTGACTGCTGTCCTAGACTTCATCCTGCCACTAGCGTAAGCAACAGTGACTACTCTCCTAGACTTCATCCTGCCACTAGTGTAGGCAACAGTGACTGCTCTACTAGACTTCATCCTGCCACTAGTGTAGGCAATAGTGACTGCTCTACTAGACTTCATCCTGCCACTAGTGTAGGCAACAGTGATTACTCTCCTAGACTTCATCCTGCCACTAGCACAGGCAACAATGATTGCTTTACTTGTCTTTACTTTCCATTAATATAGACAACAGTGTAACAGCATATACCCAGAGATGGACGCGGTTCAACCATTTTGGCTTCAACCTCCATCTTGGCAAAGGGATTAATCATCCTGACAAATATATTTCTCCCTCATTCTTCCCCCCTCCCTCCTTAGAGAGGCCCAGCGACATTTGGCCAGTATGTGTGTGAGTTGGGAATGTCACAGGAAGGTCATAGGGCTATAAAGCCCCCCAAGGGAGCCGGGGGCCTCCCTGTCCAAAGAACCTGAAAATTGTAACACCTCGTAAGAGATAAGGCAAGCTTTTCCAGGAGTTGAAAGAGATTCCAACCTAATAAACCTAACTCAGCGTAGGTGACAGAATCAGATAAACACTTTTCAAAATCCATTTCTCCCCTATGTCTCATATCTTGGAATATGAGAGACTTACATAAAAACTGGACCTATCGTCAGATTGGCCACTAGAAGGCGAACAGTTTGATAAGTCACTCGCATTGTCTCGGATACATAGGAAAACAGAAAAGTAGATCTCGTGAACCATACAGTGTATAAATTCATAATTCATATCTAATCAATCCTCAGACGTGTCTGCATAATAATCTACCCGCGGGTGGAATGTCACTTGTGCAGCTGGAAAATTATGGGCCAAAATATGAGTTATGGGAGATTTTGGCTCTAGTTGAGGTATCCACCCATACCTCCATGCCCTAAGTGGGGTATTGGTCCTTGAATTCAGAGACACCCCCTGCTGGGGACTACAAAATAGGCTGTCAGGGATAAGAGAGGGAGTTGAAAATGTCTCCCATTTTAACATCAATACCACCTGGGGAGACCCGTGCCCTTTTGCTCTGAAACTTGGATCTGCTAGCCCAGGACATTGGCAAGTACCTTAACCCTTTCACCTCTCTCTGATATCTCTTTGCTGTGCTGTTGGTCTCTGTATGTTTATATATATATCTTAGTTACATCTTTTTCTGTAAATATTTTTATTGCAGCCGTTTGACCTTTTAGTAATAAATCTTTCCTTATGAAAGTGTTGAACTGTTTCTATAGCGCGTTATTGCAATTTACGAATTCCTGCCTCTAAAGAGAACGCTACTGTGTTTGTTTAACTCTCTGCCTAATTGGCCTGCGGTGACCGTATTATGGAGACAATTATCTCAACCATTATAGTGTTTTAGCTGATATTGCAGAGTTTCCTCTTTCTCTGTACAAAAAGGAGGTGGTGGCAGTGTGAAGGGTTAATTGCGTAATTAACCTGACCCAGTAACAATCGCTCAGGCTGCCGGTACATCGATTGTGGTCCAATTAGCTGGAAAATCA